ACCTGATCTCAGCCATCGGAGCTTTAATTGAGCCTTTGTAACAGCCAGAGAGGAATGTTCTTGTTCAAATGCTGTTTAACCCAGGTACCTTTGCTAATTACTGCATCTTTAAAACTGGACAGTGGGGTGTTTTTTTTGCTGCCTCTTCTTTATTTTGCTTTCATAATAGATGAACCTCTTATGAGATTTTCTATTAATTAGATGCAGAGGTTGCCTTTTGACCCACAGGGAAGAGGTGACGCAGAGGTGACCCCTCATTGAGCGTGTCTCATGTTTGAACGCTCTGTGTGTTTCCCAGAGTATGGCTCTTGCACTGCTGAAGACTTTGTACTTTATTTTGGATTCCCTGGGAGCAGGCGTGGCCCTCTCATTTATGGAGCAGCATGGTGAAAAGATGAAATAATCACTACCTGCAGGCAATAAAAAGGGTTTTAATGGTCATGATTTTCTGAGAAATCCCCTGCTGGGTACGTGGTTGTCATGTTTGCTTGGATCAAACCTGTGCTTCTAACAGACTGCTGTACACTGCAGAGAGATGTGTGTTGAATTAAAACATCATCTGTGAAGGTAAAGTAACAAACCTACAGTTTTCCTAACTTATTAAAAGCTGTCTGAAGCAAACTTGGAAACCCCTGTGCTAGGGACTGGGCTGCTGGGTGGGTTCGACAGTGGAGGGGGCTGCTGACTCTGACCGTCACACTTGTGTTTGAGTCCTGAGCTGAATGGCTGAAAATGTACTTGTTTTTTGAGTACAGTATGGTAGGCTTCACTCCGGCTTCCTTTCTTTTCTTCCAGTTGTGGAGAAAAGGGGAATTTAGGAAAAACTTGTATGCTGGAAGTGTTTTTAATATCTGAGCTTGTAAAAAAGGCAGCAGCAGCAGTATTCTTGGTAAACATCCTGGAGTGTTCTCCTCGGATGAGGAGTTACATCTAAGAACAACTTTTGTGTATGAAAATACTGGTGAAAAACTTCTGGGCTTGTAATGGTGTACTGAGAAGATTTATTAATGGAGAGAGGTGTTTATTTTTAATAAAGACTTTTCCAAAGACAGAGGTTTTTGCTGTTTCCTGAAGGTGTTGCAACCCTGAGTTTCCACTGGCGTGTGAAAGTCCACGTCATGTCCAGAGCTCTTTGTCGTGAATATTTCAACCTTGACTCACACGGGTTTCCTGCAGCATTCTGTGACCGGAGTGTCCTAAATTAGCATTGTTGCTCAGTGGTTTGCTGGTCAGAGTTCCTCTGTCATCTTGGTAGGACAGTACATTGCTTTGGAAAGGTAGATACAAAGCCTTAAATAAGATTCAGAAGGTGACTTGGAGGGCTGTGGGAAGCCTTGTAGCTTGTTTGTGAGTGCAGGTGGAGGTGCAGTGAGTTACAGAAAGTCAAACATTTCTCACCTCCAGTCTGAATTACAAGTTGGGCCCTTGCCTGTGAGGAAGAGGTGATATTTTTTGACCTGGGAGGTGAAAGGAGGCACAGGTACCACTTGTCTTAGTGGAATTGCAGCATCTCGAGCTTCTATCCTACTGTTACGAGCTGTGAGGCTGAGTGCAGGTAGAAGATTAAAGCAATGTCTTGGCTATGCCTTTGAGCCACTTTGCCTTTCAAATAAAATTTGAATTCAGTTTGTGCCTATTACTGGTCACCTAAAAGTTTTTATTTTTGGAACAGGGGCGTTCTAGAGCTGATGATAGCGAGTATATAAAGGGGTTTGTGAGCTCCCTTGGCAGGAGGTGATCACTTGCCGAATGCTTTGGAAAGGCAGAAATAACATGGATTTTTACAGGACCTTCAGTAAAGAGTAGTCACCTACATATTACTCCCTGAAATACACTGATGTGTGTGATGGTTCTTGCTGTAATACAGCGTCTTGGTTTATTGGTAGAGTATCAGATCTCTCTGGAGTCTTCAAGAGTGAGATGTAAGAGCGGAGGTTCTGTCTGTCACCATAACGCTGAAGTAATTTTTTCCTTTCTGGTAGTGTGGTGTCTGCAATACCTATCTGTGAACAATCTTCTCTGACAAGTGCGAAGGCGACAAAGTTTGTATTTTGTTTTGAAATAAAACTTTACTTGCTTCCATTGTATAGAGCTTTCTTTTGTAAATGGTTAATTTTATAAATGCTTTTCACACTAATACCTTAGTAAATCACTGGATAAGAAGTTGCATACTTGTAGCTTCAAAAAGGTAAATATCGGTAAAACTTATACAAGAGTCTAGCTTTTTGTACTACTGCTGCTTTTGCAAGGAGGCTGGTTACTTGAAAGGATTGGTTGTTTGGCATAATATGTAAACTCTGTTCCTCTGGTTAAATGTGAACAAGCTTCAGGTTGGCCAAGCACAGCGTGTTCTGCTCCTTGTTGATGTCTGCTTTAGTGTTCTGGACTATTACATAGCAAAATACTATATTTTAGCTTCCCCCCCTCCCCCCC